TCTCTCTCTCTCTCTCTCTCTCTCTCTGTTTTACTGTTTTGTAATTGCAGTATGTCACCGTTGTTTATTCCAGTTAATTCTAATCTTTAAAAGGTCAATCACTCTCAAAATTTTCCGGCTCTTGTATCATGCCCCATTAAAAGTCTTAACTGTCCTCGCTGATTGGATAGATGACAGGTGCCTTAGAATTTTGTGTACTTTTCAGTGTGTAGTTTTTTGGGGGGGGGTTGTTTTTTTTTTTTGTGGAAACAGATTTGACAGATTACAGTATTATTCTCTTGAATCACTGTGCCAGTTGAAATTGTCAACTGATCTTTGACTTCTGAGTGGACATACAGATTTTTCTCACTTTTGAGGGTGGTTGTTGTACTTCAAGCAGGGCCCTTATTGTAATCGATCGGTAGCCGAGTTTTAAGTCTCAATGCTGTCATTTGGTCAATAACCATTCAAATGGATCTACAGCGGGTGATCATTTTACAACAGTGTTCCGTTTCTGGTTCTTTAATATTGGTTCTGATAAAACTGCTGCTATAGCATCATTCGCTCTTGTTCTTTCCAATCGAAATAACGCTCGCTTGCTGCTGTTTCTTCCTCTTCTAAGGTTGCTGATTACTTGCCTTTTTTTAAAGGTGCAGTTCTGTCACATGCAAATGAGCCAATGCTCACCCTCACCCGCATTTACTTTGAGGCGTGAAAGCTCACGAAAAGCTTCCGCTATCATGACGACTTGGTGGGGAGCAAGGCAGTGGATACTTGTTGAGCAACTTGAGCAACAATCTAAAATAAACAACAACAACAACAAAAAAAACAAGTGCAAGTAAGACAGTACAAGCATTCATTGTGTTTTCATCCCTGGAGGCAGCACTTCATCACCAAGCCACTCAATCACACCTTGTCAATTAGTGTTAGCAATCTGTTCATGTGGCACATGCAGTGGACACATTGCCAAGTACAAGAATGTCCGCAACTATGCTACAGGATTTCAGTGTTTGCTATTTAGACATCGAGGGGGTTATGCTTCA